AGGCCACTGTACCAGTTTACGGTTATGCCATTCGGGCTGTGTAATGCCGCTCAGAGAATGTGTCGTCTGATGGACAAGGTTATTCCAGCAGCTCTACGTGAACGTGTATTCGTTTATCTTGATGACCTATTGGTATGCTCAAGTGATTTCGAAACTCATATGATGTTATTAAAGAAAGTTGCTGATTGTCTAAGTAAAGCTAACTTGACAATAAATGTACAGAAAAGTAAGTTCTGTCATATAGAAGTAAACTATCTGGGATATATTGTGGGCAACGGCATTATTAAAACGGATCCTGTGAAGGTTGAGGCCATGAACATGTTTCCAGAGCCCAGAACAGCAAAACAACTTCAACGATTTCTGGACATGACAGGATGGTGCAGACGCTTTATACAAGATTACGCGACGATTGCTGCATGACTGTCTCAGCAAAGGTATTTTAAAGAAATTCACTTTAACTGATCAGGCCAAAGTCGCTTTTGACAAGTTAAAAACTAGCCTCATTACCGCACCAGTACTGACGTATCCCGATTTTAATCAACATTTTTACATCCAATGCGATGCTTCTGCAGATGGCGTAGGGGGTGTCCTGTTTCAAATAGATCAAGCTGGAAATGAACGGCCTATAGCCTATATGTCTTCCAAGTTGAATAAAGCACAAAAGAATTACAGTGTGACCGAACAAGAGTGTCTTGCAGCTGTACTTAGTGTAAAGAAGTTTAGAGCGTATATAGAGGGCCTGCCATTCACAATCATAACGGACCATGCGAGTCTCAAATGGTTGATGAACCAGCGTGATTTTTCCGGTAGACTAGCGAGATGGAGCTTGAAATTACAGGCATTTGACTTCAACATAGAACATAGAAAAGGTAATCAGAACATTGTACCTGATACACTATCAAGGATGTTTGTTGACGAGATAACACAAGACACTTGCAATCTAGATGTTGATTTGCAGTCACCTTTCTTTGTAACTGATGAATATAAAGCACTTATCGAATTAGTGACCAAGGAACACCAACGTTTACCTGACCTATGTACCGTAAAGGGTTACGTGTATCCGATTTTCGAAGTGGCGACGCACTACAAGAGGATAGTACTTGGAAATTATGGGTTCCATCTGAATTGCGATGGTCATTAGAAGAACGAGTACACGTATCACCATCATCTAGACACGGAGGGGTGCAAAAGACCTTAGCAAAATTAAAGGTAAAATATTTCTGGCTAGGAATGGTTGGTGACGTTCAAACACTGATAAAAGAATGCGAGATTTGCAATACTTCTAAGGTGTCAAATAGAATGATAAAACCACTCATGGGAATGCAAACCATAACCGAAAAACCATTCCAAAGTCTGCATGTGGATTTCGTGGAACCTTATACATTTGGTGTACCAGAATGCATGCATTCCGATAACGGGAAACAATTTATTTCAGAAGCCTTTAATTCATTCTTGCAAAAATATGGAGTGAAACACATTCGAACTGGATTGTATTCTCCTCAAGCCAATGCTGCTGAACGAGTAAATCAGTCAGTACTTCAGTTCGTTCATTCTTATATACAAGAAAACCAACGTAATTGGGATCAGTATGTAAGTGAGGCAGCATTTGTACTCAGAAGTGTGAAACACAGCTCGATAGGTATGGAACCATATATGGCAGTGTTTGGGTCACATATGATTCAGCATGGCGCATCGTATGAGATAATGAGGAAGTTGAGCTCCACACAACAATCCGAATTTGAAATATTAGAAGCGACAGACAAACAACTATTGATGCGAGAGAAACTGACTGACTGACTGGAAGAGTGTATAATCAACGAAAAAAGGAAATTCAGTTTAGAGCGGGGCAAGTAGTATATAGACGCAACTTCAGACAAAGTAAACAAGCCGATGGCTATAACGCGAAGTTAGGGAAGAAAAACGTGAAGTGCATGATTTTAAAGGCAATAGGTTCTTCGCTATATGAGTTAGGAAACATGAATGGGGTTAGCATCGGGATATACCACGCGAAGGACATCTTTTGTCAGTAAGGAGTAAAAATCGTATCATGACAATTAAATGCCTGGCTAGATCAGTCGTAAAAGGGTGAGACTCTGTAACTCAGGGTATGGGTCGAAGCCACACGTTAGGCCCAGAAACACAAACAAAATAAAGTAAGGAAGCTGACAATCTACCTTTGATGTTTTTACAATGGTGCTCCATATTGCAGGCAACATCGACACCGTTGAGCCTGTTATGTAGGCCTGTGTGGAAATAAAATGGTAATACAATAAAAATAAAAGAAATATTACAGACATTGCCTCGGTTTACCCGCGACGCCCATAAGTACGGCCAACGTCCGTACCGTTGGTTGTTTTTTCTTTTATTAGGTGAGCGTGCACTTCACCATTTGAATCCGCTCCAGATCCCATTGTTTTATTTACTGCTGTGCGAATAATTTTTTTATATTAGAATATAATTTTTTTTATATATATATAATTACTTTGTTTGCTTGTTATCTCACTCACTAAAAATTAGCAATGTGCATTGCTCGCACAGTCAAAATAAAGAAATGTGTAAAAGCTTTGGTACATTTTTTTGTTTTGGTTTGTTTTGATCAAAGTGACTGCGAAAGCTTTAGGAGTTGCAGTGATCAATGCTGCCAGAGCAATGCACAATGTAAGTAAAATAAGTTATGAAGAAAAAGTGGGTAATGCAGGTGGGATCTGCGGAATGTACAAAGGACGGAATGGAAAGAAAAAAAAAACCGTATTAACATGGGGTTCAAAAAACGACCTCGAAAATTGTGCGGGATTTGGGAATCAACGGGATGATGACGAAAACAAATAGAATATAAAAATGGTAGTGCACGGTTGAGGAGGCTTTTTTTTGATAGTTTTTTGCGAAGTGATGACGTTCCTTTTCTAAGCTGAACTGAAAATGATTACTAAAAATTAAGTTATAATGTTACCTGAAACTATTAAATTGTGAAAGGTTACTTTTATTTAAATTAAAAATAAAAGATTTAAAAAAACAAAAAAATTAAAAATAAAGGAAATGTATTAATTGAAATAATAAATTTACGAAGAACTGTTGGATTTAAATTAAAACGACAGCCAAAAATATTAACTGGAACAACAAGTTCCTGAAAACCTAAATTGAAAGAAAAATTAAAGTTCTAGTTAAAATAATTTAAATTGTTACCTGAAACCATTAAATTGTGAAAGGTTACTTTTATTTAAATTAAAAATAAAAGATTTAAAAAAACAAAAAAAATTAAAAATAAAGGAAACGTATTAATTGAAATAATAAATTTATGAAGAACTGTTGGATTTAAATTAAAACGACAGCCAAAAATATTAACTGGAACAACAAGTTCCTGAAAACCTAAATTGAAAGAAAAATTAAAGTGCTAGCTAAAAATAATTTTTTATTTAAATTAAAAGTGAAGTTAGAGTATATCTTAAAATCATTATTTCGTGAAAAACAAACCATCTTTAATTAAATTAAAGCAGAAGTTAAACTATAGCCTAAAACAATAATTTTTTTTGAAAGTATGAAAAGAACTCAGAATAGTAAATAAAACAATTAATTCGTGAGAAAATTTGTGAACTAAAACATAAAAGGATTGTGAGAAGTGACTTATATAGAAGTCAAAATTTATTGGCGACATACAACGGCGAAGCAATATCAAGATAAACAGCAGTAGCTGCAAGGCGATAGACATTGCGGTGACAGTAGCGGAGTTTTCACCGTACACGCCAATACCACTTGCAACATTACTGTGACTGCAAGTGCAGAATTGGAGACCCAAATGTATGTAATACCGATAAAGATCTTTGTTATTCTCATATGGTACTTAGTTATATAATTATTTAATAACGATTTTTTTGTTACAGAAATTTGAAATGTTAAATTTGTTAACTAGGTATATAGGAATATTTAGAAGAAATAGAAAAAAATAATTAAATTATATATAATCATATTGCTATTTGTAAATTATATTGTTAATTAAAAATGAGAAGCTATAATAATAATAATATATGTTATATAAAAATATGAGTAACATAAGTTTGAAATTAATATCACTCAAGGTTAGAGAAACTAAGAAGAAAGAAAAAAAAGTAGCATTTCTTTTGTTTTTTTTTTTTGTAAATTTTTGTCTAGGTACAGCGACAGCGAGTGACGTCATTTGGGCAGTTGTGGTAAGTGCCTAACTAGCCAAAAATTTTTTTTACTTCATACATACTTTTTCTGTTCTTCTTGTTTTTTTTATTATTTCGATTTTTTTTTGTATTTTTTATATATAAAAAAAAACAAAAAAAAAACAAAAAACACAAAATAAATATAAATAAATAAACATTTATTTGTATAGTTTAATTTAAGTATAGGTATATATATATTTATTTTTTTAGTATAAAACTTTTTTTATCATACTTGATATCATTACTATCATACTTAAATTTATAAAGTTGCTATTGTTTATATATAAACTGTTAGATTATGAAATAATAATTATAATTTTTTTTTTATCTAATTAAAGACTAGTTGAAATAAAATAAAATGCACCTAATAAAAGAATATTGTAATTGTTGTTATGTTTACCATGTTTAAAAAGTAAGTTGCTAAAGGGGTGGTACGGACGGGTGAAGTGTGCTCTGGCATTCGACCAATAACTAAGACCAAAGTGTACTAGGAAGTAAATATGACCGACGCGATTAGCAGTTTAGATTTAACTAAATTTTGTTTATACAAATATGTTATGTATTTGAATTCACCAATTACATACACCAAATCAAACGCCACTGCAAAATCAACCTCACTAGCTAATCACCACGCAACAAGCAACAAATTTCTCTCGCTCTCTATTATATTATATTTTGTAGTTTTATGTATTTTAAATAAAGTTCAGTACGCTGCAGACTGCCTTAATGGTAGCACGTAAATATAACACTGGCGACGAGGCCAAACGAACAGAAGTAAACCACGTAATCGCGAAATAAAAAAAAAACTTCAGCAAAATGGCAAACGAGTTTGCTAAGATAATAGCGGATCAGAACGCTTTTATGAAAAGCCTTTTGGATGACCAAAAAGGATTTTTACAAACAATACTACGGGGAGTCACTTCAAGTACTAATGAAGGTACATTGGTTCCAAGATTTCCAGCATTCGGAAAGGAGCACACTAAGTGGGAATCCTACATGCAGCAGATGACTCAACATTTTTCGGCGTATGCAGTCACCACAGAGCTCAAAAAGAAAGCGTTTTTTTAACATGGGTTGATGGTGAGACTTTTGAGTTATTGAAAAAATTATTCGGGAAAAACGATTTGGAGGGCATTCCATTTGCTGAGTTGGTGCAAAAGCTGTCGGAACATTTCCAAGAACAAATTCATGTGGTAGCAGCGCGGTATAATTTTAATAAGTGCTTGATGAAGCCAACGCAAACATACAGGGAATGGATAGCTGAATTAAGAGGAATAGCTAGAGAATGCCAATTTCAATGTATAGGTGAAAATTGTACCAAATCATATGTTGATGAAATGATTAGGGACATGTTAATTCTGCATACACCTCATGACACCGTAAGAGCAGCGGCACTTCAGAAATTAAAACCTACATTGGAAGATGTTTTATTAATTGCAGAGTCTTTTACTTCGACGACAAATGCTACAAATTCTATTAAACAACAACAACTCCAAGAGAGTTTGCCGTTAGTTAATGAAATCACGTCACATGCAAAAAATAGAGCACAAAAAGAGAAAAGTAAGAAAAAATGTTTCAGGCGCGGAGGCTCTCATCGACGTAGCGACTGCAAATTTAGAGAAGCTGTTTGCTTTGTCTGCAATAAAGTTGGACATATAGCAAAAGTGTGCTTGAGCAACATTAACAACAAAGCAAATACAAGAAAATTAAAAATTACAGCGAAAAAGAATGAAAAGAATAGTGCACAAGCAAACGCAATAGAATGTATTGAAAGTGTGTATAATACGACAGTAGAAGAAGTAAAAATTAAAAAGAAAAAATATATTAATGTGGAAATTTTAAATAAAACAATAAGTTTTCAAATGGATTCAGGTTCATCGGTTTCGGTCATAACGCAAAAGACATTTAATCAGTTAGGCAGGCCAAAACTTCGAAGTTGCACACGTCCAATTTATGGTTATGGTAAAAAGGTGATAGAAACCTTAGGCGAATGTGAAATAAAAATAAAATGTGGAAAACTAGAAAAAGAAGCAGTGCTGGTTGTTGCTAAAGTCGAAAGTGGTCAAAATTTATTTGGCATGGATTTATTTGAAGTTTTTAATTACGATATTGTGCAAGTGAATAATATTATTCAAAACTTAATTGTTTGAACCGACTACAGGGCCGATTTCTAATTTTAAAGCGAGCATCAAGTCTACGGCTGTACAAAAATATTTTAAATGTCGTCAGGTGCCATTCGCCCTACTTGAAAAATTTAACGTGGAAGCTGATCGACTAGTGCAAAACAGTATTTGGAAACCTGTTAAGTTTAGCAATTGGGCTTCTCCAATCGTACTCGCACCAAAGCAGGACGGCAGTATTCGTATTTGCGGGGACTTTAAAGTAACTATTAATAGTCAAATCGAAATTGAAGGGTTTCCATTACCAACACGGGCGCAGTTATTTCATAAAATTCGCTATGTCCGTATTTTCTCTAAAATTGACTTAAAGGATGCATACTTACAGTTGGAGTTAGACGAAGACTCAAAAAAGCTGGTTGTCGTGAACACACCAAATGGACTTTTCGAGTATCAAAGATTGCCCTATGGTATAGCCAGTGCGCCGGCAATATTTCAAAGATATCTTGAACTATTTCTGCAAGGTATCGACGGGTGTGGAAATTACATCGATGACATCATCGTTGCGTCAACCACGGTACAGGAACATATACAACGACTAGATCAAGTTTTTTCAATACTTAAGAAGTATGGCATCAAGTGCAAACGGAACAAATGCAGTTTTTTCAAAACCACATTGATTACTTAGGAAGGCGTATAAGCGCAGAAGGCATTTTGCCAGAACCATCAGGATTAACAGCCATTCAAAACTTAAAACGGCCTGAATATCTGAAAGAAGTGGAAGCGCTAATGGGTAAGATAAACCATTATTACAATTACATTCCAATCATGTCGCAAATCGCTGCTCCGATAAATCAGCTTCGCAAGAAAAATATTCGTTTTAATTGGACACACATACATGAAGAGGCGTTCAAGTCCTTAAAGAAGCATATAGTGAATGCTACACAATTAGTTCACTTTCAGGAGCACTTACCAATAATCCTCGCTACAGACGCTTCATCATCAGGTATTGGTGCAGTAATTTCGCATATCTTCGCAGATGGCAGCGAACGCCCAATAGCATTCGCATCAAAGACACTCAACGTTCATCAAGTAAAGTACAGTCAAATAGAAAAGGAGGGGCTTGCGATTGTATTTGGCATTCAAAAATTTCATCAATACTTGTATGGCCGTAAGTTCACTCTATTCACTGACCACAAACCATTGGTGAGTATCTTTAATCCAGGAAAACACTTGCCAACAACGACTTCAAATAGACTACAACGGTGGGCAATAATTCTAATGGCCTATCAGTTCGACATAAAATACAAACCTACAGCACAACACGGGAATGCTGACGCCCTTTCAAGACTACCAGAAGGCCCAGATAACAACTTTGATCAAGAGGACAATTGTTTTGCAGTCGAAGAGCTGGATACCCCAATTGATGCAGAGGTTATCCGATTTCATACAAAGAGGGATGAAACTCTCATGAAAGTTCACCGGTTCATACAACAAGGGTGGCCTATATCCGTAGGACCACAACAGGCAGATATATTACCATATTTCCAACGTAATACTGCTTTAGTTATTATTGATAACATTATTTGCTTACAGGGCTATTCAAATCGGGCTATAATTCCAAAAAAACTACGCCAACGCGTCCTTAAACTGTTGCATGAAAGCCACTGGGGCATAGTTCGAATGAAACAATTAGCTCGAAGATACTGCTGGTGGCCGGGCATCGACAAAAACATCGAGACACTCGCATCGTCATGCAACATATGTAAAAGAACGTCAGCCAGTCCACCAAAGGAATTTAGCTCGTGGCCCGAAGCTATACGTCCGTGGCAACGTGTCCACATTGACTTCGCCGGACCGGTATTCAATCAGCATATGTGGCTCGTATGTGTCGACGCATTTTCACAGTATCCGTACATTGTCCAATTGTCAAATACAACCTCTACTGATACAGTAAAGGCATTAACATCAATTTTTGCCATAGAGGGTTTGCCGGAAACGTTAGTAAGTGACAACGGTCCACAACTTACATCCTCACAGTTTAAGGAATTTTGCTTGAAAAATGGCATTCAGCATGTCACGACAGCGCCATTTCGCCCGGCTTCAAACGGCTTAGCAGAGCGTTTCGTGCGTACTTTTAAGACATCTGTGTAGATAAACCTTGATGACAGTATGCCAATTAGTGAAGCAGTTATCAAATTTTTAGTGACCTACCGCTCAATGCCAAATTCTAACAATAAGTCTCCTGCAGAGTTGCTACACGGCAGAATGGTTCGAACGCTTCTTACGCAGATTTTACCGGTTACAAAATGATCAAAAAAACAACCAGTGACGACAAAATTCGGCAAGGATTGCAAAGTTTTTTTACGCAACTACAGTAGCGGTCCTAAATGGGTCGAAGGAATAATTGAGAAATCTTTGGGAAACAGGGTCTACTTAGTTAAGATACCGACTGGTCAATGTAAGCGTCATCAAAATCAACTTCAAGCGCGTCAGTTAACACCGCCGCAACCAACTGCCTATGAACCATCAAAACAACATCAGCAGTCAACCATCGATGAACCATTAGAACAACAGCAGCAGTCAACCATCAAGGAACCGTTACAACAAGAAACAACGAGTTATGCCGATTTCAATCAGAAGATTTCAGAAACTTAAGGGGTGGATAAATGTTATGTATTTGAATTCACCAATTACATACACCAAATCAAACGCCACTGCAAAATCAACCTCACTAGCTAATCACCACGCAACAAGCAACAAATTTCTCTCGCTCTCTATTACATTATATTTTGTAGTTTTATGCATTTTAAACAAAGTCCAGTTCGCTGCAGACTGCCTTAATGGTAGCACGTAAATATAACAAAATACATGGCACGAGAACTTTTTTGTTGATGTCAGTGTGGATTACTGATGCCAAGACCCAACCCCAATACCGGCGAGAATTCCGGGCTTGCCACCGTGCCATGGAGGGCATTAGAAGACACGAGGTGAAAACCAGGTTGACACAACAAGTGAAATTGGTACTAAAATCTTTACTGTCCGGAAAAAGAAAGTAAGTGCAATTAATACATATGCCATACCATTCCTGCTGTACTCGTTTGGTGTATTAAAGTGGTCGGACACGGAATTGGAAGCAATCCAACGCAAAATCAGAACTTTAATGTGCGACTTTCGCATGCGTCATCCAAAATCTGCTGTGGAAAAGATATGTCTATCGAGAAGTATTGGTGGTAGAGGAGTGCTCGATATAACAAGACTATATTACGAACAAGTCGACTCACTACGCACTTATTTTATTGCCAAAGAGCTCAATTCTCCTTTGCATAAGGCTATCTGTGGTGCAGATAATAGATTGAGTCCACTTGATATAAAGAACAGAGTATTCTGTCCTTTACATTCGGTAGTGCCTGACCAGCAAAAAATTGATGAATGGAAATCTAAGGCTCTTCACGGAAAACATGTGAATTACCTTTGGCAGCCATTTATTGATTTGCATTTGTCCAACAAATCGCTCTGTGTAGGGGATCTATTTAGTGAAACTGAAGGATTTGTGTGCGCGATACAGGATGGCGTGGTCCCTACTCGTAATTATCGCAAACATATTCTTAAAGAGCGAGTTGAGGATGACTTGTGTCGAAAATGTGGTTCAGTCATAGAAACATTGGATCACAATATCTCCAGCTGTTCTGTAATGGCACCAAGGGAATTTCTAAACAGGCACAATGCAGTATGTAAGGTAATCCACTAAAATCTTGCATTCCAACATGGATTAATCTCTAAAACTTGTTCAATTTACCAATATAAACCCACTGCGGTATTAGAAAACGCCAGTTTTCGTGTGTTCTATTAGAATGTATTGAAAGTGTGTATAATACGACAGTAGAAGAAGTAAAAATTAAAAAGAAAAAATATATTAATGTGGAAATTTTAAATAAAACAATAAGTTTTCAAATGGATTCAGGTTCATCGGTTTCGGTCATAACGCAAAAGACATTTAATCAGTTAGGCAGGCCAAAACTTCGAAGTTGCACACGTCCAATTTATGGTTATGGTAAAAAGGTGATAGAAACCTTAGGCGAATGCGAAATAAAAATAAAATATGGAAAACTAGAAAAAGAAGCAGTGCTGGTTGTTGCTAAAGTCGAAAGTGGTCAAAATTTATTTGGCATGGATTTATTTGAAGTTTTTAATTACGATATTGTGCAAGTGAATAATATTATTCAAAACTTAATTGTTTGAACCGACTACAGGGCCGATTTCTAATTTTAAAGCGAGCATCAAGTCTACGGCTGTACAAAAATATTTTAAATGTCGTCAGGTGCCATTCGCCCTACTTGAAAAATTTAACGTGGAAGCTGATCGACTAGTGCAAAACAGTATTTGGAAACCTGTTAAGTTTAGCAATTGGGCTTCTCCAATCGTACTCGCACCAAAGCAGGACGGCAGTATTCGTATTTGCGGGGACTTTAAAGTAACTATTAATAGTCAAATCGAATTTGAAGGGTTTCCATTACCAACACGGGCGCAGTTATTTCATAAAATTCGCTATGGTCGTATTTTCTCTAAAATTGACTTAAAGGATGCATACTTACAGCTGGAGTTAGACGAAGACTCAAAAAAGCTGGTTGCCGTGAACACACCAAATGGACTGTTCGAGTATCAAAGATTGCCCTATGGTATAGCTAGTGCGCCGGCAATATTTCAAAGATATCTTGAACTATTTCTGCAAGGTATCGACGGGTGTGGAAATTACATCGATGACATCATCGTTGCGTCAACCACGGTACAGGAACATATACAACGACTAGATCAAGTTTTTTCAATACTTAAGAAGTATGGCATCAAGTGCAAACGGAACAAATGCAGTTTTTTCAAAACCATATTGATTACTTAGGAAGGCGTATAAGCGCAGAAGGCATTTTGCCAGAACCATCAGGATTAACAGCCATTCAAAACTTAAAACGGCCTGAATATCTGAAAGAAGTGGAAGCGCTAATGGGTAAGATAAACCATTATTACAATTACATTCCAATCATGTCGCAAATCGCTGCTCCGATAAATCAGCTTCGCAAGAAAAATATTCGTTTTAATTGGACACACATACATGAAGAGGCGTTCAAGTCCTTAAAGAAGCATATAGTGAATGCTACACAATTAGTTCACTTTCAGGAGCACTTACCAATAATCCTAGCTACAGACGCTTCATCATCAGGTGTTGGTGCAGTAATTTCGCATATCTTCGCAGACGGCAGCGAACGCCCAATTGCATTCGCATCAAAGACACTCAACGTTCATCAAGTAAAGTACAGTCAAATAAAAAAGGAGGGGCTTGCGATTGTATTTGGCGTTCAAAAATTTCATCAATACTTGTATGGCCGTAAGTTCACTTTATTCACTGACCACAAACCACTGGTGAGTATCTTTAATCCAGGAAAACACTTGTCAACAACGACTTCAAATAGACTACAACGGTGGGCAATAATTCTAATGGCCTATCAGTTCGACATAAAATACAAACCTACAGCACAACACGGGAATGCTGACGCCCTTTCAAGACTACCAGAAGGCCCAGATAACAACTTTGATCAAGAGGACTATTGTTTTGCAGTCGAAGAGCTGGATACCCTAATTGATGCAGAGGTTATCCGATTTCATACAAAGAGGGATGTAACTCTCATGAAAGTTCACCGGTTCATACAACAAGGGTGGCCTACAATCGTAGGACCACAACAGGCAGATATACTACCATATTTCCAACGTAATACTGCTTTAGTTATTATTGATAACATTATTTGCTTACAGAGCTATTCAAATTGGGCTATCATTCCAAAAAAACTGCGCCAACGCGTCCTTGAACTGTTGTATGAAAGCCACTGGGGCATAGTTCGAATGAAACAATTAGCTCGAAAATACTGCTGGTGGCCGGGCATCGACAAAAATATCGAGACACTCGCATCGCATTCAATATATGTAAAAGAACGTCAGCCAGTCCACCAAAGGAATTTAGCTCGGGGCCCGAAGCTATACGTCCGTGGCAACGTGTCCACATTGACTTCGCCGGACCGGTATTCAATCAGCATATGTGGCTCGTATGTGTCGACGCATTTTCACAGTATCCGTACATTGTCCAATTGTCAAATACAACCTCTACTGATACAGTAAACGCGTTAACATCAATTTTTGCCATAGAGGGTTTGCCGGAAACGTTAGTAAGTGACAACGGTCCACAACTTACATCCTCACAGTTTAAGGAATTTTGCTTGAAAAATGGCATTCAGCATCGTGACAGCGCCATTTCACCCGGCTTCAAACGGGTTAGCAGAGCGTTTCGTGCGTACTTTTAAGACATCTGTGAAGAAAAACCTTGATGACAGTATGCCAATTAGTGAAGCAGTTATCAAATTTTTAGTGACCTACCGCTCTATGATAAATTCTAACAATAAGTCTCCTGCAGAGTTGCTACACGGCAGAACGGCTCGAACGCTTCTTACACAGATTTTACCGGTTACAAAATTATCAAAAAAGCAACCAGTGACGACAAAATTCGGCAAGGATTGCAAAGTTTTTTTACGCAACTATAGTAGCGGTCCTAAATGGGTCGAAGGAATAATTGAGAAATCTTTGGGAAATAGGGTCTACTTAGTTAAGACACCGACTGGTCAATGTAAGCGTCATCAAAATCAACTTCAAGCGCGCCAGTCAACACCGCCGCAACCAACTGCCTATGAACCATCAAAACAACATCAGCAGTCAACTATCGATGAACCATTAAAACAACAGCAGCAGTCAACCATCAAGGAACCGTCACAACAAGAAACAACGAGTATGCCGATTTCAATCAGAAGATTTCAGAACTTAAGGGGTGGATAATGTTATGTATTTGAATTAACCAATTACATACACCAAATCAAACGCCACTGCAAAATCAACCTCACTAGCTAATCACCACGCAACAAGCAACAAATTTCTCTCGCTCTCTATTATATTATATTTTGTAGTTTTATGCATTTTAAACAAAGTTCAGTTCACTGCAGACTGCCTTAATGGTAGCACGTAAATATAACAAAATACATGGCACGAGAATTTTTTTGTTGATGTCAGTGTGGATTACTGATGCCAAGACCCAACCCCAATACCGGCGAGAATTCCGGGCTTGCCACCGTGCCATGGAGGGCATTAGAAGACACGAGGTGAAAACCAGGTCGACACAACAAGTGAAATTGGTACTAAAATCTTTACTGTCCGGAAAAAATAAAGTAAGTGCAATTAATACATATGCCATACCATTCCTGCTGTACTCGTTTGGTGTATTAAAGTGGTCGGACACGGAATTGGAAGCAATCCAACGCAAAATCAGAACTTTAATGTGCGACTTTCGCATGCGTCATCCAAAATCTGCTGTGGAAAAGATATGTCTATCGAGAAGTATTGGTGGTAGGGGAGTGCTCGATATAACAAGACTATATTACGAACAAGTCGACTCACTACGCACTTATTTTATTGCCAAAGAGCTCAATTCTCCTTTGCATAAGGCTATCTGTGGTGCAGATAATAGATTGAGTCCACTTGATCTAAAGAACAGAGTATTCTGTCCTTTACATTCGGTAGTGCCTGACCAGCAAAAAATTGATGAATGGAAATCTAAGGCTCTTCACGGAAAACATGTGAATTACCTTTGGCAGCCATTTATTGATTTGCATTTGTCCAACAAATCGCTCTGTGTAGGGGATCTATTTAGTGAAACTGAAGGATTTGTGTGCGCGATACAGGATGGCGTGGTTCCTACTCGTAATTATCGCAAACATATTCTTAAAGAGCGAGTTGAGGATTACTTGTGTCGAAAATGTGGTTCAGTCATAGAAACATTGGATCACAATATCTCCAGCTGTTCTGTAATGGCACCAAGGGAATTTCTAAACAGGCACAATGCAGTATGTAAGGTAATCCACCAAAGTCTTGCATTCCAACATGGATTAATCTCTAAAACTTGTTCAATTTACCAATATAAACCCACTGCGGTATTAGAAAACGCCAGTTTTCGTGTGTACTATTAGTCGACAAGTTTACACAGATCGACTAATAGCACATAATAAGCCTGATATCCTATTGGTTGATAGAAGGAATGGTTTAGCATACCTGATTGATGTTGCTATTCCGCATAATGGTAACAGTGAGCAGCAGTATGCAGAAAAGATGAGCAACTACATACCACTGGCTAGAGAAATCAAAGAAATTTGGAGGCTTCAGCGAGTGGGTGTTGTACCAATAATACTATCAGCCACTGGTATAGTACCCAAAACTCTCACACACTCTATGGATATACTTGAACTCTCTAAACTTCTAATAAATACTATGCAGAAATACGTCTTATTGCATACATGTGCAATGGTGAGGGAAACGATCAACATTCTTTAGATGGAGCAACACAATTTTATAGGTGTAGAACATGGACTACACTTCAACAGAGCATAAATTCCTTGATGCTTGTCATCCGGAATTATGTGAATCCCAGCAATAACACCCGCTGAGATGCAAAATTCAAATAATAATAATAATAAAAGAGTAGACGTGAAAATTGCCCAACAGCCGGTACTGCGGCCAGAAGAGCCCTATTGTACCAGTTTCACTATTGATTAAACAAAGCCCCTTAAAGCTTTGTGAATAAAGTCTAGAACTAAATCTAGAGAAGAGTTCTTAATCTGTTCTGGTGACAGAAATTCTTTATGAAACAGGTTTCTTCTGTGCGTTATTAAAGCTGAACAGTCCCAAAGAATGTGCATGGTCATTTCCTCATCTTCGGGCATAATCTGCATTCCGAGTTATCAGATAATTGTAGTTCATGCATGAGATATTTCAGACCATAATGACCTGTAATGAAAGGCGTTATCAACCTTAAATTACATTTTGAGAATTTAAGAATGTCTTTTTAGGAGTACGGTGTTAACAGTGCTTTGCTTTGTCTGAGTCCTGGAAAGTTTACCTAGCACTCCAGCCGCATATGATTTTCCATTTCCTTGATAATCTGTTTTGTACTGGCCCAGTTTATTCCACAAAAGGGTTGAGGGCCTATAAAAGCAGTTTTTGACGCAGTTCTGGCTAACTCATCAGCTCTTTCATTTCATTTCCCAAAACTCTTCTGTGGCCCGGAACCCAGTAAAGGCTTACCTTATTCCTAGCTGCAAGTGATTGCAGAAGCTCGAAACATTTAAGGACCTGTTTCGATTTGAAAGTCCAAGAAGAAAGAGCTTTAAGAGCAGCCTGGCTGTCAGAGTAAATAACGATTTTCGAGCCAGAAGATTTTTTGATTAAATTGGATCTTACGCATAAGTTGATTGCGTGGATTTCAGCTTGGAAGACACTCGGCCATGTGCCCATTGCCTCCAAAATGCTGGTGCTGGGTCCATATACACCAGCGCCAGTGGCTTCATCCATCTTTGATCCATCTGTGTACCAAACCAAACTTTTTGGGTCAACCTGTGGGCCTCAATTCTCCCACGTTGAACGTGATGGTAGGTGTACCTCAAATTTTTT